CACCAAGGAGGCAACAAAGAGAGAAACCGTAGCAGCAGAGTACTATATGCCTCAAATTCCATTTATTAAAAGTGCTCTTCTGGTTTTTTTTCTCTCCTTTACTGTCAGCTTTAAGATTTCAGGCTTGCTCTTTTGTTTGGCGCTAACCAAAGGAATTCCACTGCCCAGTGTTGAGAATTTGGCTAGTAGAAAGAATCTTGATAAAAGGAGAAAACACATTTCCTCCTCCTTTATAGCTACAGAGAAGCAGACATTCCTTGCTTCATAAAGTTATTTCTGATAAAATGGTAAACTGGGGATAATCACAAGGATGTATAACTTACTCTGCTCTCCAGTGTGGAAACCTGCATAAAATACACAAACTCCCATTCTCTAGTTAACAAAGAGGTTTTTAGACAGCTGTGTGACAGCCTCAGAGACTCTGGTGAGGAGCTCTAAAAGGCAACCTTTGACCTCTAAAAAGGCTGCTTTCTAACTGGGTACCTTACTTGATAATTTGTTGACTTGGTCATAATATTTAAAGTAGCCTCTCCGATTTTTTTTTTTTTTTTTTTAAAGTACTAAGTCCTCGTAAGGCTTTATTTTTTGGCTGGCCAGAAGAACTTGATATTCTTCTCTTTTCCTTTCATGCATAAAGTATAAATAAATGATGTATTCCGTGTTTAAAGTTTGGGTCTTTGTCTTATTTAAACGATCATACCCAAATTCAGCTGGTGGATAAGCCGGCACAAAAAGCATGAGACAAACTCATCTGCTAAAGAACAGAAGAGAGGGGGTGCGCCTGGGTGGCTCAGTCGTGAAGCGTCTGCTTTTGGCTCAGGTCATGATCCCAGGGTCCTGGGATCGAGCTCCGCATCGGGCTCCCTGCTCAGCGGGAAGCCTGCTTCTCCCTCTCCCACTCCCCCTGCTTGTGTTCCCTCTCTCACTATGTCTCTCTCTCTGTCAAATAAATAAGATATTAAGAAAAAAAAATAAAGAACAGGAGAGGAACTAAAAGGAATTTTGAAAGATTAAGCACACATATACATTAATTCAGGATGGTTTTCCCTCTAACTTCTTCCTCAATTGGAGGGATCAGACACTGTTTTAACTCAATTGGCCCGTTACCATTATGCTCCACTTAAATCCTTGTGCAGAGGAAGTTCGTTTGGGTACTCTGGTATTCACAAGAAGCTCTGCTCTGCTCCTTGGCCACAGACAGAGTCCTAACACCACAAACCCATTTAAAACATGTATCGTGACGTACAGTCAATAGCCTCCTAATCTTTCTTATTATGGACAGATCATCAGCACTATTGTTGATAAATTATCATTCCCAGGATTGGCTTAGCACAAATAGGACAAATCTTCTTCTACTTCAGACACAAAGCTCCAATTCACCCAATCTTTTCAGCACATTGTAATTGTATTTCTCTCAGCTGTGTTTTACCTTCAGCTGCCAACATATATTTAAAAACAACACAGACAAACTGGAAGAACGTCCAATGCAACTTACTGTAGGTGGATATGACTGGATTTTTTTTTTCTGTGAAATTTGAGTCATGTTTGAGTAATGAAATAAACAGAAACTAAAATGCAGAGCAAGCACAAGAATCAGCCCTTAATCAGTATCTTCTAAAAAAATAATTTCAGATAAGATGAAAATCTATTCACCTTCACAACCTGCTGACTCTGAAAACAATGACTGACATCATCCCATTTTTAAAAAGAGCTTTAAAAAAAAAAACAACTCTTCTGCTTGCCTTCATAGAAATGGGTAATTTTCCTCTTAATTGTTCATTGTAGAAAATAAAAGCCAAACAGAGAAATACAAATCACGTATAATTAAAAAGAGTCTTTTAAAAGTCTTTTGATTGTGAGAGTGCTTTATTACCTGTAAAACCCCATACAAGAGCAAAGTAGGATTAAAATCACCCCTGATACCAGGCTGGCCTCCACCCTGGTACAAATATCTTCCAAGGGTTCAGGCACATTCTGGTGAGTCCTTATGCCCACAGCTGTAGCTATGAAGCCAGCATTAAAAAAAAAAAAAAGCCACAAAGCCCTTCAATCCACTGCCACTGAAATCCCTAGACACCCCATCTCAGAAGGCCTCTCACACACCCCGTGTGATATCTCCTAGTAGATTCCTGCCCTGTTGGGGAACGGGCTTATCTGGAAACTGTGGGGAAGGAGCAGCCCCTTCTTTCCACTGCTGGAGGTTCTAATCGTAAGAAACTTTTGCTTTTATGTCAAAGTGAAATCTGTCTTCCTATAAATACTACTTGGCCTCTTCTGTACTTGGGAATTACCCTAAATACATACATTCCCTTTGCTACATGACAAACCTTAAATATCTGAAGACAATTAGAACACATTCACTTCTCTGCCCAAACCTTTCTGCAGGTTTAAACATCAAAGCTGGAGAAATGAAAATTGGTGTCATTAAGCTATAGCACCTACTTAACTAGCCTGGAATGTCAACCTGAGTCAAACTTGGGAAGCAAAGAGAGGAACCTAGTCGCTGACCTTTAAGGATATCCAATCCAGGAGATGTAATTAATCTTAGTTAATAAACATGTGTGCCCACTATGGATCAGGAACTTTTTATGGCTTTGTTCAAGATCGAAGAAAAAGCCCCATGTCTTTTCTTGTTAGAAATATGAGAAAATGATTTATAAGTATTTCTTAAAAGCATCAATGTTAACGTCAGTATTGTTGCAAATGCTCTCTGCCAATTAAGTGATGACATTAAAATGAATTTATCCAATGAATCACAGATGAAAGAGTTAAGAACCGAAGTGATCTTCCATTGAAAGCAAAAGGATTCACTTAAAAAAAAGAGAATTAATATTTTCCGAGAAACCTGTTAGACTGATGTATTTACATGTACCATAGTAAAAATCTGATACACACAAGTAATTGTTTTGTATTTTGGATTTTAAATACACATAACCTAAATTTACTGAGTAATTATAAGATGATGCAGAGAAACAATAAAAACTATTCTAAGGTTTTTCAGTAGTGTGTGTATGTAAATACATATACATATATACATGTGTATATGTAAACACATATATACACATATATATCACAAGCCTTAGAACCTTTTCCCAAAAATATTTCACAAAAGATAAACATTTAGTCAAAAGAAATGCATAAATTTAAAACATCTTTGGAGATAAAAGTCACTTTAAATGTTAGTATCTTTTTCCTTACAATTCAATGGGAAGAAAACGCAGGCAAATTGACAGTGCAAAAAAAATCATTTAATAAAACAACAATGCTCTTTATATAAATCTCAAACTTAAAAATCTTATTTAAAAAGACCCAGCAATTCTAGCTTTAACACTCCTACAGGTAGGTTTCTGAAAATGCGTAATGTATTAAAGCACTACAGCCTTGGAGCTTGTATTTTGTAATAAGACCTATTACCGCAACCTAAATTTCGGAGCACGGCTATATTTCCTCTTAGGTGACCTCATTTTCAATTATTGGAATAGATCACACTGCTAAATATCAAAGCTTGAATTTAAACAATACAGGTCAGCACGAAAACGTGTTAGATAAACTGGAGTAACTCACTGTAGTAGACCTCAGCTCTGTAGTCAAGCCTAGAGCCCTACTGCATATTTGCATTATGCTCAATTTCATGAATTACAAGCAAATCGCTATTTAGGGTCATCTAAAGCCTACATCAAAGCTTCAGAAAAGGGCTGTAAGGTAGAGTACTTACGTAAAGGGTTATCAAGACAGGAGACAAGACAAGTTATCAGGGAGGGTCTCTAACGTCCAAAGGATGGTAAAACGCATTTAAAAAGGCGATGTGGATTCAGACGGCCGCCTCCCCCACAGCATCCCAGACAAAGCAGGGCCAGGCCCTCGGGCGCTCCAGGTGCACCTGCAATGCGGATCCCTCACCCTACAATCTCACCCCGGGGCTGGTCGGAGCAGCCCCTGAGCTGGCCGCTCCTGCCCCATCGGATTGGCTTGGCTGCGCGGTGCAGACGGTCCGCAACCTGGACTGGAGCCCTGGCAACGGCATCCCCCTCCCCATAACCAGCTGGAAAACCGGGCAGGCAGCCGGCGTGGGGTCGCTGCGCCTCACTTTTGCCCTCCTTTCCATCTTTTCGTGCCCCCCCCGCCCCGTTGTTTCCGCAAGGGGACACCCTTCCCCACCGCCGAGCCCTGGGGGTGAGACGCGAGGACCCCCCTCCCCCTGCAGCAAGGGCTTTTAAAACAACCTAAATTCCGGTCCCGACAGGTGCCCCCGCCCCCCACGGCGCCCGCAGAGCCTCCCCTGGGGTACGGCCAGGTGAGCGGGGCTGGACTCGGTCACACCTCGGGCCCCGCCTCACCTGCGGGCGCGGCCGTCGCGGTCCTTCAGGCGGCTCCCCCCCTCGGCGCGGTCCTCCGGGCGGACGGCTGCGGGGGCTGGCGGCCCATGGGCGGGGCGGCGGGCGGGGCTGGCTCCCGGCTCCGGCCCTGCCCCGGCCCGGCGGCCGAGGGAGGTCAGTGGGCGCCGCCCGCCGAACGCATCTCGCCGGCTCCCACCCGAGCGCTCGCCGCGGTGCACGCTGGGAACGGGGGCCGGGGCGGAGAGGCCAGGCCGCGGGGACAGGGCGGACGGCTGAGGCGCCGGCGCGGCGGCTGCGGGTCTGTCTGCGGGGCAGGGCGGGGGAGGCCGCTCGATACTCGCTTCGCTGGGAGGGGGGACGCGCCCCCCCCCCAGCTGTGATGGGGCACGGGACCCGACCAAGGGGAAGGGAGGGTCTGGCCGGTGGGACGCAGGCGCAGAGCTCAGGTGCGGCCGCACTGCGGTTGCCCAGGGTAACGCGGGCCCGGGTGGGGCGGGGAAGGAGGAGCAAGCGGGCGCGCGGGAGCGCGCGCGCAGGGCTGGGGGTTGGCGAGGGGGGGCGGGTACCCGGGACCAGCCTGGGATTGGGGGGAGGGCGCGCGCTGGCGGCCGACGGGGGCGGGAGCGGTGGGGGGGGGGCCGGGGCGAGGGCCTGACGGCGCGCATGCGTGCGGCCCCCGCTCCCCCGGGGCTCGTCGGCCCCGTGCGTGCGCACGCGCGCTGTCCCCCGGAGGCGTCTGGGTGTGCGGAGCGCGCGCGCGCGGCTGGGAGGCGCACCTGTGAGGTGTCCCTTGAGGAGAGGGAGGGTGGGTGCGCGGAGCCCGCGGCCTGGGGCGCTTCAACCCCTCACTTGGAGTGAGTTGTCGGGCGGCCGGGCTGCAGTCTCTCTATTTCTTTTCGGGAACGAGACGGGGGCGGGGGCGAAAGGGGAGCGGGCTCGGGGTTGGAAGGAGGATGAGTGGGTTAAAGAAAAGAAAAACAACCCATCACTTAGGATGGGCCTCGAGCCGGGGCCGGCCCCTGGGCGTCGGTGGGAAAGGTCAGAGCGGCCCCCAGCAGCCGGGCTGCCCGGCGGCCACCGGGCAAGGCCCCACGGAGGGCAGCCTGGCTTCGGGCCTCGGCCGGCCGGCGTGGGCCCGCAGTGCCGGGAGCGGGGCGCGGGGGTCACAGATGGCTGCCGGGTGCGCGGCGAGGGATGGGCAGCGGCAGGGGCGAGGCCGGGCGGAGGCCCCGCGGGAGCCGGACTCCCGAGCCGGGCTCCATTGTTGTTGGAGCCGAGGGAAGGGGGAGCGAAACCGCTTTAGAAGCCCGTGAAGCCGCGCCTTGGAGCTCTTCCAGGCGGGTCCCCGGAGAGGCGGTAATGGCCGCGCCGTGGGAGCAGGGAGCCGGGCTGTGCCGCGGAGAAGCCCGGCTGCATGGTGTGATGTTGTGTTTTTTTAGAGCGCCCTGCGTCCCAGCAGAGCCCGCCGAGCATCCTACTCAGGTGATGAGGAACCTTTCGCGCACCCAGCGCAGAACGCCGCTGCCGCTGGACGCCTCCATTGTTTGACCACAGCAAGGGCCGGATTCTCAGCCAGGTAAACTGGATGGCCGCGCAGCCGAGCTCCCTCTCAGCTCCCACATCCAAAGGAATCCTCTCCTCTTTCAGGACTTGACTTCAGTTTGCTTACTGTCCCCCGCTTCCGATTAACTCAGTATATCCACCTCCCAGACATTTTCCCATCTGGATTAATCTTCCCGCATCTCTCTGCCAAGTCACCTCTCATTTCCCTCAAAACTCGGCTCCTTTGTGAAACCTTCCTTGCCGAACTCTTAACAACTAAATCTCTCTAGGAGGAGCCTGCTCTGTACTCTTCCAGTGGCTAGTTTGTTTACTGGTTGTCTTACTGCAACAAAGGAGACTAGGTATTAAAAAATAATTTAAGTTACTGCTTATTTAGAGGAACGTTTTGTGACATTTAGATGGTTTATTGTTTTAACAGCATTGAACCGTTTTTTGTTTATATATTTTGTCTTCTCTTTTAGAGAGGCCCCGACATCCTTTATAGATGCATAGCTTTTAGAGCAGAAAAATGACCTTTTTGTTCAAACCACAGGTTAATTTAAATTTTTAAAAATTAGTTTTAAATAGGTAAAAATATATTTTCTTTGTAAGAATTAAAACATCACAGACATGGCTGAAGTCTTTCTCTACCAACCCGTCTCCAGAGATGATAACTATTATATGTTCCATGTGTAGTTTTCTAGATCTTTTAAAATGTTTTCCCCGTGTGTGTACTTGTATTATCTTTGTTTTAACAAGTACTAGTGTACTCTTATTTTTCAGTTTCAGCATGTAATGCTTTAACTCGTTTTGAAGAACTGCTGCATCATGTTCCATAGTTGGGGTATACCATAGTTTATTTCCCAGATTGGTGGCAATTTAAATTTTAACTTTATATTTAAAGCAGCTCTTTCGGTGGTGGTTCTCTGGTGAAATGAAATTTCAGTGAAGGGAGCATAAATCTACACTAATTACAGACACAGGCCTTTAGGATGGAAGTTCTCTTTGGTTAAGAAATTTACATGTGGGACCTCTACCCCTCCCCCAATGTAATTATGAGGCTAGTACTTTCCAGTCCTTTGACCTTGAGGAGGACAATCACTCTAAGCCTCAGTTTTCTTTCCTATAAATGCTGATAATACCTGCTCTGTCTACTCCACAGAGTTCAGCGATATGACATATGTGAAAGTGTTTTGCTTTCACATATGTATGTGAAATAATGTAGAATGTAGTGTATAAATGTTGATCTTACTAGCTTTTGTGATCCAAAAGGACTTTTTATTTGCAATGTAATTTATACTTTTTTGACCAGGTGTGTCTGTTACAGAATAATAGAGATCACCAACTTTGAATGCTTTTTAGTTTGTGATTTTGCTATAATTTTTATCAAGTACTGTTAATACATTAGGCTTCTTAAAAGAGTATTTGACAAAGCACATTTTTCCTAGTGCTTTAAAAAATAAGACCTATAAATTAGTTGATTGTGAATAAAGTATCAGCAAAATGAATGCTACATAAAACAAAACCCGCATATTTAAACATTTCCTAGTGATATAATTTATATATGTATTTTCCTGTGGCAGCGTCAGATTCAGGTTAGCTGTTATGTCCTTGGGGTAAAGTGTATTCTTACTGAATTTGTAGGCAGTATCAAAAAGAGTTTTAACAGTTTAAATATTGATTGATATGATGGGTATTGTTTTAAGATGTAAGAGATACAATTAAGGGTTTTTTAGGTATTTTTATTTCATTCAAATATATATGAATGCTTGTGGTGTGGCCAGCATAATCAATTTGTCCCTGTCCTCTTAGAGGTTATAATTTATGGGGGTGGAGGGAACCACAAATGAAACAATCCTGCAACAGCACATATAATCACAAACGGCATCTGTTAGGAAAGTTAAGTAGTACCAGTTATGAGAGAGTATAAAAAGGGGAGCAAATTTTAGATTGTGAAAAGGTGGCCTGGGAAAGACTTTTTTTTTTTTTTTTTGTGCAAAAATAAGATTTGAGCTGAGATCTGAAGGGTGAGTAGGCGTTAGCGTAGAGTGATGGGGGATAATTTTCCAGGCAGGGGAATGGCATGTGGGAAGGCCCTAAAGGGGGAGAGAGCTTTGCCCATTCCAGGAACTGAAAGAATGACTTGTGGATAGATTGTGGTGGGTGAGAGGGAAGTGTGGCTAGGCAGGGGGCCAGATCATGTAGGGTCTTGTAGGGCAGGTTAAGGATGTTTTATTTTATTCTGAGTGAAATGAGAAACCATTGCAAGGGTTGGGTTTGAAGCAGGGGAATGACATAATCAGATTTGCATTTTTAAAAAGCCACTCCAGCTGCTGCGTGCAGAATGTGGGAGTGTGGTGTGGGGGGAGTGGAAGTGGGGGAGACTAGGTAGGCCATTTCAGAAGTCTGTCTGGAAGAGAGGTGATCTTTCCCTTGGAGTTCACATTGAATTCAAACTGCCACCTAAACTACAGACAAAATAGATATTTGATTAGAAAAAAATCCTTGTTTCTTATTTTTAAAAAGTAAGCACTTCTTTGTGCCTACAGAAATGTTAAGCTAATTATCCACACTATACTTAACAGAAAGTTATCAGAGTCAAATTAAAAACTGGGGAGTTATTTAACATGGTTTTTGTAAGTTTTATTAAAGCAGTAATATATGAAATAAGAGTGAGGTAAGGATCCAAAATGAGACGAAGGGAAGTATATGTAGATGCTATTGGCTACAAAAATGAGAATAACAACAACAAAAACTATTATACAAAGAAAAATTGAGGAAGTGACTGGGTACACAATGCATATATAAAATTCATAGCTTTCTGAACACCAAAAATAACCTAGCAGAAACTAAAATGGAAAAGAAAAAAACCAACCAAAAAACAGGCTCTGATCACAATGCAAAAAAACATAAAACTTGTGAGTACAGCTTTATTGAGACAAGTGCAGTCTGCATGGAGGACACCATAAACTATCCTGAAAGATAAGAAAGAATGTCTTAAATGAGAAAACAGGCCATATTCCTGGATATGATGTTTAAACATTATAGAGCTATCCATTTTGGGATGAACTGGACAGAATTATGAGAAATGAGGTGGGACAAATCCTGTCTGATATTAAACATGTTATAGAACCCCATTCAAAACAGTGTCATGCTGGCTTTAAAATATCTGTACAGGTCTCTGTAGCCTAATCAGCACCCCAAAAATATGTATGGGAATATAGTAAATGATAAATCAGCATGAATGCCCCCTAAATCATAAAGAAAATGTGGAAGTAGATATTAAACATCTGGAAGAGAGGGTTTTGTGTGTTGAGGTGGGCAAAGACTTTGCAATCAGATAGACCTGAACTAGAATCTTCTAAGTGAGGAAAATAATACCTGCTGTGCAGGTGTTGTGAGGGAAAGAGGTCTAGGTCCTGGCACTTCTGGGGTACTCGGATCTGTTACTAGTTTAAAAATCAGTGTATTAGACTACAAAAAAATTTAAAATTTCTTTAAGAAGAGAGGAAAAACAAAACCCTAAGATTAGAAGCCAAACCACAAAGTAGGAAAATATTTGTGACAAACGTAAGTGAAGGCTTAATATCTTCAACATGTAAGGAACTCAGATCAGTGAGGAAAATAAGAAAAGTCCACACACAAGTGGTTACAGGATGTGGACAGACAGTTCACTGGATAGAAGTATAATTTGTTAAACATGTGGAAAGATGTGTACTGTAGCTAATAATCAAATAGTTTGTAATTACTCCTCCAGAAAATTTAGATTTGATTCCCAAGAGCAACAGAACTAGAAGATGTTTAAAAATGAAACAAATGCAGAAAAGCTTTATGAAGAAAAACCTTTACCTGAACAATTTGAAAGCTAACCTAAATAAATGGACAGATATTACATGTTATTAGAGGGGAAAGCATCATTGTAAACATTGAAATATTCTACAAATTAAACTGTAATTTTAATGTAGTTCACATAAAATCCCAGTGAGAATTATTTTTGGGCACTTGGTTAATTACTTCTAAAATTCATCTGGAGGAGGAAATGTGCTAGAATGGCCAAGAAATTTTTCCAATGGGAAAGTAGTGATAGAGGATAATACCAGATATTAAGACATACTGTAGTGCTGCACTAATATAAATGGTGAACACAAGGACAGACAAATTGCTACATGGAAAAAAGAATCCAGTAACAGACCCATTTATGTATAGGAATTTAGGGTTGAATAAAGTTGGTATTTTGATACAGTTGAGAATTAATTGTTCAGTATACTGTGTAGGGATAAATGACTGTTTGGGAGGAAAGGTTTTACTTCCCCAAATTCAAAATGAATTTTATTTGGCTCAAAGAACTAACTCAAAAACAAAAACAACTGTAAAGATATTAGAAGAAAATAAAGGGAAATGTGTTGGAGGATATATTACGTTGGCAAATTTTTTTTTTGTAGACCATTTAGGAAAGACCAAGACCCAAAATTATAAGGAAAGGAGTGATAAATTTGATCATTATCAAAGTTGACATTTCTTTGTGACAAAAGACATTACAAGATGATAGATTGGGAAAAAAGTTTGTAACATGTATGAAGAGGTAAAGAATAACAGAATTGACACAATTAAGAAATGGAGAATAGGAGTAGTTCTCAGAAAGATATGAGAGTCAAAGCAGTGAGGAGGGATTCAACGTCACTTCTGATTAGGGAAATGAAAATTAAAACAACTAGATTTTTTCAGTGGGGGCTATCATGCAAAAATTAAGATAGTGAAGGGTGTGGAGAAAAAGGCACCTAATACATTGTTGGGAACACAAAATTGGATCTACTGTTTCAATTAACAATTTGGCAGAGCCTATAAAAATTTTTAAAAAACATGCTTTGATCTAGCAGATACTCCTCAAGGAATCTATAATATTCCCACAAGAGAACACAAGTTAGTATGAGCAAAGTCTGTTGTAGCATCATTTATAATAAAAAATGGGAAGATAACCACAAATAAATTTTGGTATCTGTGTACTATGGAATGTTAATGTAGCTTTTAAAAAAAAGAGGTAGGTTTGTATGCATTGACATAGCCTGGATGGATGCCTGGAATATATTGTTAAGTCAAAACAAGTTTAATTCCACTTTTTTTGTAAGGTAAAAACCCAAAATATTCCTGTGTGTGTTCTGAATAAAAATAGAAAAAGGTCTAGATTTTTGTGACTATTGAGGGAAAAACAGGAGAGACTGATTTTTTATTTCACATGTTTTTGCTTTGATTCAGTTTTTTTTTACAATGAGTATTTACTTTTGTAATTAAAATGTTACATTTTCTCAGTTATCAATTTAATAAAGGCCTGCATTTAGACTAAAAAGTTACAATATCTAGTACTTAGGAGGATGTGGGGAAAATGTCACACTATTACGTTACATTGGCCATATGTATCAAGAGCCTTGAAAA